AATGCAGAAGATGTGATACAAGCCTTTGCAACAGGCTCTCTACCAACCACTCAACAAGAGGTATACATGGAATTCAAGGACACCGTCCCTTGGGACCCATACCAGCTACAGGTCATTGATAAACCAAGACTCCATTCACTACATTTCGTAGCGACTGTCTTTGGTATCCTCCTGGTTTATCCTGACAGGGAATGCGAGCATCGTAGCTTTGCCGAGTGGCACAGAGACAAGTATATATTTCGTGCCATTCGACGAATTAAGTTCTTTAAAGAGTACCTACCACGAAAAACCCTAAGACTCTGGCATCAAAATGCCAGCCGTGCAAAGTACAATCGCATTCGGTCGTCGACTTATTTTTCCGGAGCTCGTTTCCACGTTCCATTCCTCAAACTCCTACAGCAGATCAACAGTCTTTCTAGAGACATGCTCTCCCTAAGAGGAAACAATATCTCATCTTGTGGTTGCTGCACTCGAGAGGAATTCTCCGTATACGTGAGGACAAACAACAAGCAGCTACTCAAGTACTTTGATAAATATTTCCGGTATTCTCTTAAAGTTATCGGAGAGACTGTTTCTAACTCACACAAGTACGTGGAGGGACTGGTAGCGGAAAAGAGACACAAACCGTTTGTCTCTGAGCTTCCCATATCAATACAGAGGAGACAGCACAAGCAACTTGAGGATGATATAGAAAACGGGTATCATCGCTGCAATCAGTTAAAGGAGCTGATAAAACTAGTGAAAGAGATTGTGTCTAGTTCAGTCATTAGTCTTGTTGAGGATCATGTTAATCAATGGCTGAGTGTTGTAATGAGTGAGAGAGAGGGGACCAGAGAGACCAGTGGAGGAACCATTGAGAAGGAAGAGGATGAGGGGAGGGAACAAGGAGTGCCTCAGTGTTTGTGGCAAATTCAATTACAAATTAATGAAGAAGGTATTAATGTACAAATACATGCAATATGCATTATACATGCATGTAAAATGTACATGTACATGTAGTACAATTAATGCACGCTTTGTAATCCACACTACTTGCATGTACACGACAAATAGTTTACAAGCTCTGCACAAAAACCTGGCCCATATTACAGATAGGAGCAACTCTATTGGGTATACATAGCTTCGTACATGTACATGTTACACGTACATGTACATATAAATGGTTCTACCTATGATGGTAGACCAACCATCCAATTACACATAGTCATCTCTTATTGTTTTCTAAGCAGAGCCCTTTATGTGTACCTGTACCTGTACATGTATATTAATTGTTATTTTTGATTGATTTATTTATTTATTACTATTATAATACTATTTTTCATTAATTCCTGTAGGTATGCTATCATATGATACAGATTATTCCCAGTTAAAGACCATGCTACTCAATCCATTGACTAACAGTATCATTGCACTATTCACTGCATATGAGGCTGCCATTAACACTGCTCTACACGAAGAACAAGTAAGATAAATGATACACATGTGATACATGCATGTACACGTACATAATATAGAAGTTTGATACAGGATGTTTTTATAACATGTAAACGCAATGGCAAAATTTTATCTTGTTATGTTTTATGTTTCAAATTTTGTCACCAGTTATACATGTACATGTACATGTAACTAATTTTATATTTTTAAGTCACAAGTGTCACTTCAACATGTACATTTTTATTTTTGTATAGGGAACACCATCTCTGTCATTGTTTTCTAGTACTCATGCCTCACTGTCTCAGTTTAAGATGAGAGGGAATGAGGAGGGAGAGGGAGAGAATGAAGAGAGTTTACTCAGTAACTGCTTACTCAATGAATCACTCATCAATGATCTGGAGACCAAGTAAGACATTGTATACATGTACAGATACATGTACATGTATAATAGTAATAGTCACACTATTTTATGTAGTATCAATGTAATAGTAATAGTACTTATGTATGTTAATTGTTTGTCTGAAAAGTACATGTACATCGAAATGGCTGGGAGTGAGTTCTTGATTCTTAGCTATTACATTTTCTGATACGTGTACATGTACATGTACATGTATCATGTAGTGTGTGTTAATTTTTATTAAGTTATTATGTACATGTATGGTACATGTACATGTATTATACCGATTAAGTTTGAGCTGATTCCAATTTAAAAATTGGATTAAAAAAAATTAATTTGTGATGTACATGTACATGTACATCATAAAAAATTTTATGATTATAAAAAACGTGTAGTATTTTTTGGCTTACAATATTACATGGACAATGTACATGTACATGCAGTACGTACTACATACATTTACATGTTTTTATTTATTTTATTTTTAGTGAAGTTTTATCAAGTGCCACTGAGTGTCTGACTGAACTGTTTGAGTCCATTGAGAGCGAACTGAAAGAATTCTGCAACCAGTCAAACTGGTTGATCCAGTTGAACGAGTATGTATCAACCTGGGAGGGGAGGAGGGAGGGAGGGGAAGGATTCAAGACCATTAAACCTGAAGATATTAAGGTACTCAGTACTTTAGAGTGACTTTTATTGATACAGTACTGTATAATGCAATTTTAACTTTCAGTAGATTTTGCTTATAGTGAAAAGGAAAGAATTCGTCATTATAGTATTTTTGATGCATGTACATTTACAATCTACATCAATCTGTGTATTTACACATATGTACATGTACTGTACATACACGTATATAAATCAACCATTTTTTCTTTTTCATTTATACACGTAGGTTGCCCTCACGAGTGGTTTTCAATGGCTTGATAAACTTGGCTCACTTCCTCTTCATTTTGTGACTCTCTCCTCTCACTCGTTGGTCTGTGTTAGAACCGAGAGTCTTGCTACTAGTCTAAGACCAAGACTCCATGCTATAATGGACTGGGTACAGACTCACTGCCTTCGCTCTATACACTCTCAGTCCTTGAGAATAACTGAAATAACTACACAACACATTGAGGTACAGATCATACTTGTACATGTACATGTACTTGTGATTATTATTAATAAAATGATTTACTGCATACTGAATCAGCCCAAACTTTAGCATAGTGCATGTATGTATATGTACTTTTATTTGTATTGAAAGGAAGTCTTTTGTAGCCATTTTACGTGTGCCTATGTTGTACAGGTTCATGATACATGTACATGTACACGTATTAAAAAGTAGTTTTTCACCCAATTAGAATTTAATAAGATTTTATGATTGAAATCAGTTCATGACACAATGGCATTGGTTCATGAACATTGTGTTTTTGTAATAAGAAACTGTTTTTTTAAATAAGTAATTTTGGGCTTTTTGTTCATTTACACTGTACATACTGTACATGTACATATGTACATGTACAATGTACATGTACATTTTTATGAATAAAAAACTTTATTAATGATAATACAGTACATGTATATTTACATATACATTTTGTACATATTATATTATTGTAGATACTCTCAAGCAAGAGGATGGACCTTGAAGGTTTTGCTCGCTTTTCACAGCAACTAAAGCACAATAAAAAAGGAGAGGGAGAGAGAGTCTCATACCCTCCAATTTGTAATGTCACTAGTGAACACCCTCA